GTATTCTAAACAATAAGTACAAGTAGTTCTTATAAAATAATTCTTAGAACCAGGTTGTATGAATATTTGCAGTTCCCTTTTTAAAAACATTTCTGTTATGACAACAGAATTCAGATTGGATAGTTTTTACATTTCAGTATTTCTTTATGTGAAGCTTTGTCCTTCATAGTGATTTATACAACCTGCATGTTTTTTTGTGTGTGTGTGAAGGTGTGTCCCATCTAGTAAAACTGCCATATTTGCTGTGATCATAAAGCATTTTAGTCCTAGGTTATCTGAAGTTACTTGGACATGTTTTAGCAACAACTCCTTCTTACTGAGTCCATCCATGCAGTTTTCATACAATTCTCACACAGCACATAAAATTCTCTCTTAGCAGAATATTTCCAATATATTTTTTAGGTCAAGCCCATATTTAAGAGGGACGTAGCCTCGTGCGCAAAGTAAAGGTAGCTGTTGATCATCCAACCCACAAAAGGAATGTAGTTGAAAGTGACACACCTCAGAATTGTTCATGGCCAGCCACCTGTTGCTAGGGACACCCTTTCTGAGGGAAAAAGATGAAACGCTATGACTATCTGACCAAGACCAAGAGTGAGGGGAAAATAGTGAGGAAGCATTGCCTCACTATTAGCAAATGCTTTTTTCCAACAAAATGAGGGCAGATGTAAAGCCTCTAGAAAAGTGCCCGATCTGCCAGTGGCCAATTTCAGTTGAATCAAAGCATAAGACTAACTACTAATGAAGAGAAATACAGGATCCAGGCGTCCCTCCAGACATTTGAGGCTCTGCCCATGATGCAAAGAAGATTCTGCACAGAGAGCCAGATTTCTCTCCAGGCAAGACCAAGGGAGTGTATAAAGTCTTGCAGCCAAGTAATCAGCAGGCTTACCACATGTTTCTATTTGTGTGTGTGAGAGGGAAAAAACAACAACAAAAAAACTAGCTATCTGGTTTTTTTCAAAAGCACTTTTAGAAAAAAGCAGAAAGAGATGATTTTCATACTGAGGCCATTGGAAAGACCTCAGAGAAGCTGAAACAAATGTAAGAAAACAAATATGTAGAAGAGCTAGGCTCACTAAAGAAAGGTCAAGTGATAACTGTAAAACGAAAGGCACACAGAGGAAGAAAAGTCACATTGCTCCTTCCCTCTTCCCTTTTGCAGAATCCCCACCCATGGATTGTGGCACGCTGGCCTCTTGAAAATGAGCCTCTTGTGTCAACTGTAAAGTGTGTCATCACAGAGAAGAGCTGAAGAACAGCAATGAGAAGTATCTTGAAGATGCCAAGAAACTGAGGGGCAATGCTGGTTATGGCAATGACCAAGAAGAATAGTAGCAGTGGTGCTGTTGGACACTGGACACACCAGCTGCCGTACCAGTTAAACTCAGAGTGCTGGGAACTGTGTAAGGAGTCCTAGAGCACTGGCAACAAGCATGTGAGAGTCCAGAGTGCTAACTCTACTGCAAAGTGGTCAGAGATCTCAACACCGGACCCAAAACAACCCAGCTACTACCCACTAGCAGAAGAAGACTGTCAGAACCCCAACATTTCACCGGGCAGCAGCTGTGACAGCAAGTCAAAGTGTTGCAACACAAAACTTGAGAGTAGCAACTTGGTTTTACATGCAAGTGACTTACACCAAGGCTGGCTGGAGAAGGCAGGAGTGAAGGAGAAGACATAAGAAACAGTAGAAATGATAGAGCCACAGCTGAATATAGTATAGAACACAGGAAATATAGCATAGAAGGTTAGAGCTGTAAGATAGGAAATAAAGCCATAGGAATATAGAAACTGTATGATAAAGCATAGCATTATAGATATAGGTAATAAGTAGGATACTAAATAGACCAGTTAGAACCTATCCTGAAAAACATGCAGGATGCAGGCTTGGCCTGTGAAAAGGCCTTTTTCTAACTGTTAACTGAAATGAGGCTTTTCAAATTTTTCAGAGATGCATAAAAGCAGATTTGCCGTTAACTGCTGTTCTGTTCTTTGATCCATATGCTTAAAGAAATTGCATTATTTCAGAACAAAGATTACAGAAAATTCCTCCCTTTTAAGCTTCTGTAATTACTGTTCAATTATTATTTCTACATCCCCTCACATTTTATAGAACATTGGACAGCAGCTAAGCAAGCTGAGAAAGACATGAAACTAAAAGAAACATGAAACGCTTTACACTTCAGCCCTACTTCCTACAAAACGAGGCCAGAGCTGTCATTTCAGACTGGGGCTCATTTGACTGAAAGTTCCTACACTGAGGGGGGAAAAGTTCCTGCGTACAGAAAATTAGCATATAAAGGGAGCAGACTAAGCGAACATGCTTTCCTCTCATTTAGTTTTCTTTATGTGTGCTTGTTAAAGGATGGAGACATATAAACATGCACATCAAACACCAAATCATGAAAAATTACACCTGCATTCTGAAATGGTACAATCCAAATAGATTTGCAACCCCACTGAGAGGCTAAGCAAACATCCTTCTCCTTTATCATAATTTTTAAATGACTTTTTGTGCTATTATTGACCAAGTTTCAAATACCATAATCAATATTTTCAATTTTATTTGTTTCACTTTTATCTGATTGCTGGCCTTATGGCCACAATAAAGCTTTGATTTTATTTGATTTTATGTTTGATTAAGTTATCTTCGGAACTCACATTCCAGCCTTTCTTCCTTTGAGCAAGCAACCAAAGGTCATTGTTTGGTTTATCAACATAACTCAGAATTTTACCTGGAAATCTTTTCATTATTTGGCACAATCCTTCCTTTCTGCAAAGCAGATGCTGGATTCGAGAGAGAACATTAGCCTGGGAATGAACAGAGAAACTCCAATTATTGTAAGCTTACAAGATTGTTTTTATATGCCATTGAAGATGCCATTACAGTAAGGTTGGCTGATATAGGGAAATAGTAGTCATTCCCCTGAGTAGAATGGGAAATATCTTCAATTAGGCATAAGCCAAGCTTGGTGAGTCAGGCTGTTGTAGTGGTTAAGGTACCACGTTAGAAACTGAAAGACCATGAGTTCTAGTCCCATTTTTGGCACCAAGCTAGCTGGATGACCTTGGGTCAGTCACATTCTCTCAGTCCTAGGAAAGAGGCAATGGCAAACCACTTTGGAAAAATCTTGTCAAGAAAATTGCAGGGACTTTACAAGGCAGTCACCAGGAGTCAACACTGACTTGAAGGTATACATACAAGCTTCCACAAGCTTTTTTTTCAGTCAACCTTAACTTTGCTCTATTTTTAATTACAAGCTACATATTATATCCTTAGTTATGAATATGATCAAGTTTTAAGGCAGGATTAAAGACTTACAAGAGAAGTGTCCCCAAGATTCAGAGTGTTCATTATGATGATGAAAGCAACATCTCACTGCTGTGACACAAGGTCCACTCTTTATATGTGCCTGTGATATTATAATGCATGTAAAAATGGGCAGAGTGTGCATCATGCTGGACTGATTTTGCTTCCCAAAAGCATGATCCTGCTTTATTTGTCCTCTTGACACCCATTCCCAACACCTCTACTATACTTACAAGAAAGGGAAGGGAAGGGAAGGGAAGGGAAGGGAAGGGAAGGGAAGGGAAGGGAAGGGAAGGGAAGGGAAGGGGGAAACGTGTAGGCATTGAACAGGATTTGGCAATATAAAGTAAACTCAGACTGCAGCATGCACTCTAAAATGTGTCTTTTTATTTGTTGTTCATAGACAAAATTGTTCTTTTGCCTATGGGACATGTCTGTCCGACATGTTTGTAAAACAGCAATTTTCTTTTTAATCTCAAAGTCAGGGCTGGCAAGAAAAAATTGCTATGTCCTGCAAAATGGGTTAGGGTTAGGGTTTTGCTCCAAGGCATTCTTTCTTCAATAAGACATACAATATATGTCAATTGCTTAAGAGTCTCATTTTTCTTTTCTTTTCTTTTCTTTTCTTTTCTTTTCTTTTCTTTTCTTTTCTTTTCTTTTCTTTTCTTTTCTTTTCTTTTCTTTTCTTTTCTTTTCTGCAGTATGCATGAAATTGAATTCCATGGGCATGTGTGAGACAGATGAAGTACAAAAGTCCTGTTTAGAAAACCATAGATAATGATGACATCACATAACAAATACAGTGATTCTGACAGTTTAGCATACAGCCTTGACCTTGATGAAATCAATGTTAATCTGTGAATATTCACATTCTTCAAGATATTTGGCAAATGCATATTTGTGGTTTTTTTCCTTCCAACTCTGCTGGAAATAAAGATTTTAGAGAATGCACTTGAGACTTCACTCATGCAAAGCATCTGCTCTAATATCAGCAAATTCCTGTGAAGGTGAGACAGCTATTAGAATAAAAAACAGTGCCAAAACTGGGATCTGATAGGATGCTTTGTAATAAAATAAAAATGCAGATTAAAAAAAGTAAGTATATGCCAGAAAGAGAGGACCCTTTGCAATCCTACCTTCTGCAGTAGTGTTGGTTGATACGATTCCACTATATTTAAGCAATTTTCATGGTCAGCTTTGCTAGATGAAAGGCAAATCAAAAGGTCCCAAGAACTTAATTTATCTATGATAAAAAGAAAGTAGCACGTTAGGAATGAATTGTGATGAGAAAGCACAGCAGACCAATTAAATGCAAAATATTTATTCAAGTGACACTGTCCTTCTCTAGCAAAATAAAGGAAGAAAGAAGGGGGAGAAGACACCAGTTTGAAAGCTTTATCATGTCTTGGGCCATCTGATCAATATGATTCTGTGTAGTTAAAGTCTGAGTTCTATTGTTCATATATTTACTGTAGCAACTACTATTCTCCTTTTTATTTTTGCTTGCTTTTTAGGAGGAATAGCAGCAGCAGCAGCTTTGTGGATCCTCACTGCTCCCACCGCCTATACCTACCAATGTGTCTTGCAGAGCTTGCAATTTCAGTGGCTAAAATAATTTTACCCATACTTGGCTTCCAGTGACTGTTCCTATGGAACACTGCTTTGTAGAAGGAATCTTCCAATTACAACTAACTTCCTCAAGGCAAAATTTTTGGAAGAACATGGAAAGCAGAGACAGGTTGTGAGCCCCAATTCATGAGAAAGCCTGATTACACCTGGAAAAGCTATCACCCATCTTGAATTGGTGATACACCTATATATCTGAACACTTTTACTGTATGGATTTTGGTGGTTAAATGATAAAGTGTCAGCCCTTCCAGGTTGTCGAGATCAGGAAACAGACTTCACAAGAAGACTAGAACTAAACTTTATTAGATAGACTATATTAATAGAATCTTACAAGTCTGACTGTTTTTCCGTCCCTCTCTCTTGTACCCTAAGGAGTCAGGGAGGAGCCACCCTGAGTCTCTTCCTAATATAAAGAGAGCTTCTACTAGATCAGTGTTGTCCAAACTTGGCCACTTTAAGATGAGTGAACTTCAACTCCCAGAATTCCCCAGCCAGCATGGCTGGCTAGGGAATCTGGGGGGTGGAAGCCCCCCATTTTAAAGTGGCCCAATATGGACAACACCGGACAAAATGGACAGCAGCAGAGAGAAAATG